AAACCAGTGGAGGGTTCAAAAAGTCGATTCGGAGGTAACCCAGATATTTTCCAGGTAGTACAGCACTCGGGCAACTTTTTTTTTGCATCGCTATCGAGCGACTTAAGGCAGCCGGGATTTTCAACGTTGGTTATGACAGGTACGTGCTCGTATTCAATACCTGAGTTGTGCTTAATATACTCTTGCCCCATCATATTGCAGACAGGGAAACGTTCACGGGCGATGTTTGCTACGGGGATGGAGCTAGGCTTGAGGTTTATATACAGTATCACGGATTATTTGTTTTGACAGGGCCGCCGCTTTCAACAATACCCTGTTTGTGTCTAGAGCAATGAGGCGGTTTATACCATTATAAGGCATATACTAGCTTCTCGACTTTACGCGTTCCTTACAACTTTTCCCGACCAAGATCTCTAGGGAAAAGCTTTGCCTGACCTATACATAGCGATTGGTGGATGGTCACGGTGGATTCGGCAGCCCACGCTCACAGTGCTCATATCGAAGGTAGAAAACACTAAAATAACAATTGATGGTCGGCAAGTAGCATGTTGGTAGCACGATCACGTAGTGAGATACTCTGTGCATGAACACGGGGAGACAAAAAGCATGACCGGGAGGCGGGTTGACACCTAAACGTTTAAACACTCGTAAATATTTGATGCACAAAGAATAATTTGAGGATAGCCTGGGTGGAAAGGGATGCAAGATGCTTACTCGACCCAATGATTTGCTATTTCAGTGCAGTATCCTAGCCGCGGTATTCTGTGGGGGAACACTAGACCTGACGACGTCTGAGGAAGTGATAGTCCCTTGATATTCCCTGAGGTTCGAAAATGCGAAGGAGAAGCCATTGGGTCTGCCAGTGCGGCGGCATGTACGTATGTATCGAGTTATCTTAAGACAAACGACGAGAAAAAACACCTTGTAAGGCGCCTGTATTAGCGCTCTTCCCAGGTATCTCGTTTCCTACAATACGTACCTTACTCGTTTGTTGCTTCTTCGCCACCATATCGCTCTTCGTTTACTCGAATATACACAGGTCATACGCAGCCATGTGTGGTGAAGTTGACGCAGACGCGTTACACGCCTGTATTAGTTGCAGAATGTATCGGATTCAATGGCTTCCAAGAACCAAGAGTTCGATACGCGCTGAAATTACGATGAAAAACGAAAATGAAGCGAAAGTGTTCACCATGCACGTGGGGCGTGGACTTCCGTCCTTGAAAGTAGAAACTTGTGGTATTGCGTTGCCCTTACTTTCGTTTCTACGCGGTAGGAGCGCATCCAAAGACAAAGTATGGGCCTTACTGCAAAGAGGTCATGTGTTGCTCACGATGGTGACAAAGAACTGTGACATGATCAACAATGATCACTTACTTTTGGGTCCTACAACTTCGGTGGTGCAGATAATCTCGGAGTGAAGCTTTGGTTACTGGCCCTGGAAGAAACTGGTGGCTCGATGAAACAAATGACTTGAACAGGTTTAAGCTCTCGACGCAGCTGCTAACTTGTTGAATAGACGAAGATGACAGAAGCGAAGAAGAACAACCTTTTCTTGGTCGGGCATTGTCGTCTCGAACCTGACTTGAAGAAAGGACCATTGCAAACAAGAGTGGTCACGTAGATAGTCGAAACTGACGTTCATGACCCATAGGCTAATAAGGTCCCTGCGAATTACCGTGTCGCTCTGTCAAACGTCGACATAAAAACCGAACGATGCATGCACGCCAACCTGGAAATCGCAAGCAAACCGGGTCTGTATAAAATCCGAGGTATCTGTAAGGGAAACTTAGAGGTTACAGATCATTCAAGAAGGAAAGAACCCACGCGTTTATTGAGTCTGAGCTTCACTTGCAATCGATCCTGATGACAGCAGGAAAGAAAGTCGGATCTGACCGTGGTAATGTCGGCACCGAACTCGAAGACGGGAATCAATTTACTTTTTGGGTGAGCGTCTATCAGGAACTATAAGCGCTCCTGCCACAACGAGAACGTTGCTCAAGAACTGCGTGCTGAATCGACTGAGCTATAGGTAATGACTCGGCACCATGATCTCCGAGTCAAAAGCGTTGAAAACGCGTCGAAAATGGTTATCGATACCAGAGAGATGCGAGTAGTATGAAGTTTTATTCCAATCCGATACAAATGTCCATGTCCATGCAATACACGATACAAATACAGACTATCCTATGAAACCATGCTAACAAAACAGAGATACAAAACGAGGAAACGAAAGCAACGACTCGGGATCCAGACGGCTAGGTGACGCGAATGAATTACACCTTATATCCCTTCTTCTTCAATTCCTCAGTGCGCGCGTTTGCCAAAAACGCAGAGCTCTTCCAGAATTTAGCATAAGAATCCGCAACTTTAAATTGCGGAATTTTCTTCATACAGTTCGGGAACACGACGAAGTTGTATCCCGGAGGCGGTACGGTATATTGGCTACAGCGTCAAGGTGAGATACGAGTACGAGGGATAGATGATAGACTTCAGCCTACGTATGGGGTACTGTGGGCATGGTTATATTGAGATTGGCGCGTTCTCTGTATATGCGTGATTAGTGTTGAGGTAATTAGAAACGATGAAAGTGCGAAATACGTACGCCAAATAATTGAACGCGGCGGCAGTCGTTTCAAATATTTCTAATCCAGTGGGAGTGATAATGATGAAGCGCTGGTTAATGACGCGGACTTTGGGCTGAGACATTGTGGTAGTCTAGGAGGATAGAAGATGTGAGTGTTAATGAGGAAGGTGAGGAGATGAAGGTCTTTATTGACCGAATGTAGGATGAGAGGAACTTGGGCAAAACACAAACCAGAGGAGTTCTTTTTATACCCCCAATTCCTGGCGACAAACCTTTGGTACCAACGCTCTATATTGGGAAGGGTCCTAGCACAACCAGTTCTAGGATTTCAATAGTAGAACTATCAGATTCGCTGGCACAGATCCATTCCAAGTCCTCTCAATCCCCAGCGATAACCCAAGTAGGGAATATATCCGGAGGGGGACAATAGACCTCTCGAGTTGATGGCGTCATTATGAACGACCCTGAGGTTACCTCCGAGTCCCGTTGTATGGAACACCGATGATAAATGGCTCGAAAAAATTTCATCGAGTGAAGCGTGCAACGTGTACTCGTTGACCCTGAAATCAGATATCACAGGACACGTCAGAGGGGAGCCAGTCACACACCGAAATAGCCGTCACCCGTCACGCTGCCAAGGGTTCAACAAAGGACGTCCACGGAAGATTTGATGTGGACCTTCCTATTTGGGCGAGCAATGAACGAGTGCCTATTCAAACCAGTTTTGGTAGTCCCCTTATATTCGTAGCGTTCAGTGTCCCCCTTGAATTTATGCTGGGTGTATTGAGCTCGATTTTCCAAAAGCCACAGTTTAAGATGAGCTTTTGGCTCCCGGAGTAAACACCAGAAAAGTCGATATTCAGATCCAGTTTCTAGAGTAGGGTCGTAGATAAGAGAAGTCGGACCCAGGTGACATACCGCATTTGACGAATAAAGGAACACAGCCCGAGGAGATGAGCTGTGACAATGTATGGGCCACGATCAAATCGAAAAAACGAATAGATTTAGAGGTCAACCGGAAGTTCATTAATGTTCATTATCCGAACGTCCAGATGCCCTACAACCTAGGTTTATGGTTACAATTGGCTTGGAGGAAGTGAGCGTGAAAGGTTCAAAGAACGATGTCGCGTAACGAAAAAAAAAAGTCATGCCATGTCCTGCGCGAGTACTGTCCCAACGAGCTCGTTCGGTGAATACAGGCTTGAGTCTCGCAGAGATAGGTTGAGATTAGATCCCGCGCAATTAGCTGGTATTGACCATTCAACGCAGATGTTTTTGAGGAAAGAACAAGCCACGGACAAGTTTGCCCCTATCCTCCAATGTCTACCTGTCCGGACAAGAAAGGACGAGTATCCAGAGGTTTTCCTGTTTGCATAGAAAGCGTTGGGTACGAGAAATTCCAATGTTCGACGGGGAAACTTGAAGCTTGAAGGCGCGTTCAACGTTCAACCGACATGCCACTAGTCCGATCCGCTCGGCGCGAAAGAGCTGACTGCATATGAAAAAACCCGAATGTCTGCAAGAATCGTATAGGTAAGGCTCGAAGACGGAGGTAAAAGGAGAATCCAGGTTCGATTCGGAGCGCCGAGAGCATCGAACTTGATTGAATCTTGACGTGAAGCGCAAACTCATGACATCCAGCAATTGGCGCGTCCCTGAGGCTATCATGATAATTCAAAGGTTCAATCAAGCCCTTACAAGCAGAACAAGAATCGTATAAGCGACAAGCAAGGCTTCTCAGGCTCTGAGGCTGAAAGAGCTGAGCACTGAGTGCATTAAACTCGATGAGAGAGCGAAACCACGACAAGCAGCCTCATCCGAATCTAAAAGGTGACATAGACTTCATCCCCGGAAGAGCTAGTAATTTGAAAGTGGGCTCAGGCTGGTTATAAATCTGAGTCTCGAACCTTCAAGTTTTGAAGGCAAGTACCGATAACAGAAGTAGACGAGGCAAGCAGCCGGCCGCAGGCTTTGACGTGGAAGGTGACGGATAATGCCAAAGTGTGCATCCTCGAGGCATAATACAGAGGTTCGACCAAGCAAAACAGGTTCGTATGGATGACGAGCATGGCTCGGACCGGAGGTGAAAGAGCTGAGCTGGTTGACGAAAGAGCAGAACCACGGAAAACATGACAGGCAGCCTCTTCCGCGAAAGGTGACACAGAGTTGGCCTCCGATTCTGATTCAACAAATCAAAGCAACGCCGGGATTGAACAGTTTGAAGTCTGCAGTTCGAAGGCTCGGAGAAATCTGAGGCAAGCTTGAACTTTGAAGGTGAAAGATTGAGTTCCCGGCGAGGTGTTTCTGAGTCCTTCAAGATTCAGATGATGATAGTTGGTAAGAGAAAAGGAAAGAAGCACCAATTCCGAATCTCTCCGCCTCAGCCCAGCCAAAAGATATCACAAGTCTCGATCGACGCCAGCAGGATTTGAACCTGCGCCCTCAAAGAGGAACAGATAACGAACGAGATTCGAATCTGTCGCCGTAACCACTTGGCTATAGCGCCTTGAAATCTCTCGAAAAGGCGTTGTGATAGTATGAGAAAGTTTGACACAAAGCCGCGTAATCCGCAATCGGCAAACATTCTTTTTTCTAAATCAGTCTTGTTTTTTGACTCTTTCATTTCGCCAGAGATGTACGAAGACGACGGCGGTACATGGGCTACAGACTATTCCGATGCATACAACACTCCTCCTCCCGTCTCTTCTACACCGCCACAGCCACAAACACAGACTAATTCGAAAAAACAAACTCGGAAACGTAAACGCACAGATAGTACCCTTCCTTCAAACCAACCTAATCCATCCACACCCCCACCTCTCAAACCCAGCGAAGAGTACTTCATCATCTCCAATACGCCTTCCCAAACCCTAGCTATACCTTCAAATCAGCGTAAACTTCTCATCCTTGATCTAAACGGAACACTATGCTTCCGCGAACCCCATGCAAATCCCAACACGTACAACCAACGCGAACGTCCGCTTCGCAAGGTCCATGCTCGGCCATATGCGGACGTGTTGAAAGAGTACCTATGGCACGAAGAAACCAAGGCGTGGTTGGATGTCATGGTATGGAGTAGTGCGATGCCGGGGAGTGTACGAGGGATGGTTGGGAGTGTTTGGGGCGAGGAGGTGTTTCCTCCGGAGAGCGGTGATAGTAAAGGCGAAGGGAACGGAGAACCGGAGAAGGACGAGTTTGGTCGAGATATCCCTCGTACGGAGGTCCAAGGACCAGACGGAGACAACCTGAAGGGCAGATTGGTAGCAATGTGGGCACGAGACACTCTAGGTCTCCCAGAGGACGCTTATTGGGCGAAAACTCAGACGACGAAGGATTTAGAGAAACCTTGGAGTCTTTTACCAGATCTCAACCAACACAACGCGCAAACGACACTCTTAATCGACGATTCGCCGCTTAAAGCCCTATTACAGCCATACAACCACATTTGTGTACCAGAGTATGGAGAGAAGATGTGGCAATGGGATCGTTCGCAGCGGCCTGATGAAGGCCAGGGTGTTGAAGCCGATGGTGCTGGTGCAGCGGACGTCCAAGATGGTGTAGTGAACGGTGTCAAAGCCGACGTTGGAGGCGCACCTATCCTCGACCACACGCTCCTAGCCCTCATAGGTCTCCTGGACACAATCAAAAACCAGGATAACGTCGCTTCATGGGTCAAATCCGGAGGTCTTTTCTCGTCTACCACTACCAGTACCTCTACCGCTTCTCCTTCGACTACCACAACGACACCACCAGACCTCGAATCCATATACACTGCATCCGTACCAGAACTCTCCCTTCCTAGTCCTACACCCAAGAAGAAAGAGCGATGGAGGAAACGGAACCGACATCGACAGCAGGATAACGAGAAAGAGGAAGATAAGAAGGAGGTACTCGAAACCAAGGGCCCGTTGACATACACGCCGTCCATTGGGGACTTTACTCACCTCGCTAGTTGGGATTTGAAGCCTGATGAGGTGGATGGGATACCGGGGTTGACGAGGAGTAATACGCCTGTTGCCCCAAGTAACAGTAACACGCACGGTGAACCCAACGCGACTACGAACACGGAAGGCGATGTGGAGATGGATGACTCTACGTCTGCACCCGTGATCGATACCACAGTCGGTACTGCTACTGCTACCGATGCTTCTTCCAATCCTACTCCCACCGCTACAACCACCGATACCGACACCACCACTCCATCTACACCTACTCTTGTCAAAGACGCGTCGGAGCTCGAGCAAGAGCTCGAAGCTACCCGACCACAATGGAGCTGGTACCAAGACTCCTCAACAAGGACGTATTGGGTTCAGAGAGGTATTGGAGCTTGTCAAGCGTTGGGGTTGGAGGTCAAGTAGCACGCTGTTTTCTTGATGGGTAGCGTGACGGTTTTTCTTGTGATAGCGATGTCTTGTATCCGAGTTGGGGTTGTTTATAATGCTGTATAGTGTAGAGTAATAGTCGTTGAACTCGAACAAGTCGATACCCTGTACGAATCGCTCGGAGTTGGAATCTTCAGCTGCTTTGATCTTGGCCTTGACCTGATCAGCGAGGCGATTAGTCGACGTCTTATTCGTCGCTTCTTTTTCTCGGGTTTAGGTGTGTTAGTATTACAAGAATGACTATCGCATCCCTCTACACTCAAGGCTGCAGAAAGTGCTAGAAACGTCAAGAGGTCAAGCTTTCAAGGCTCGACGTGAGGTATTCAAGCTCAAGGCGGCCAGTATCATTCCACAGAGGGCAGGCTATCATTTTCCTCTTGAGCATTCTAAATTCGATACCAAGACAACTATATATTCCTAATTCTATGATCTACCTGCTTCCACGACCTGCTCCCACCTCGGCCTATTCCCAATAACCACCTTCATCTCCTGATACCAGTCGTCAAACTCGTGACAACCCATCGCTAACACCATCCATCTTTTCTTCGCACCCCCATTGAATCCCAAATGCCGGAGCCATCCTCACAGCTTCGTCTAAATCTTCCAACGTAATGTACTCCGACATTCTCTGTAAAACACTTAACATCCTCCTTGCGTATTCTTCACCGCCTTTACAGTGGCCATTTGAACAATCATAGCCTCCATGAATATCGAGGATGGCTTCTGTGTGTATGAATTCCATGTTGGCTACTTTTGCCTCGAGCTCGCGTTGAATTCGGAGTTTGGCTTCTTGGCAAGTACTGCGATACTGTGACTACAAAACCCAGATCGGATTAAAAAAACTTAGATTTAAGTGTGCGGGCTGTAAGGATGACGACGTACCCAGAAATAGTATAGCTCAGTATTTCGACGAAAGTGCGGTAAAACAACGTTATGCTTCAGACATATCGTACGTCGGACGATATCGTCCATCTCAGGAAACGTCGCACAGGGTGGTTCATGTAGCCGTACGAAGATCTTGAGAGCATCGATGGGTTCTATTCGTTTTGCTCGAGATCTACAAAACTTATACGGTAAGTAAAAACCAATGCACCAGCAACAAAATGACGCACCGAATCTCCCTCCTACACGCATCCAAAGCGAAAAAATTTCCGTACTTCTCAGCAGCTTTACACAAATCAACGAGGTCATCCGCTTTGAGATCTTCACTCGAAAGATCCGGTACTGGCGCGTTATGCATAAATTGCAATAAAAGGCCGAGCACGACACCGTTTTCGACGAGAGAAACTGGTTCGTGTGTCGTAAGGTTGTCCCAGTCCGCGTTAGGGAAACTTTCGCTGAAAATTTCTAGGTGTCGTTTGTGTGCGCTAAGGTGTTTGCCGTCGCTAGATAGGATGGTAATGTCGCAAGGAGTTGAGCAGCCTTCGACTGTTGAGAATGGTATGAGTGAGTAGGAGGAGGAGCAAGTAGAAGAGATACAAGCCTTGACATTTCGGGAACATGGCGGTTTGGGATTGAAATGCAGCCGGCGCTTCAGGGGCGTTTGTTGCTTACAAATCAAAACTGCGTTCTGGACTGCTTGTGGTTCAGTTACTTATCTGTTTTCTTTTCCCTTCTGGTACCTTTCAAACATTTTTAGATGCTGTATCGAGGAGTATACTCAAGTATCGTTTCGAATCTATGGTTAGGTTTGGAATTGAGCAATGATGGATGTGAGTAAGCCATTGTTTTTGGGCTGGAAGGTGTTTTCTGGAAGTACTGGTGACTGAGATATGGATTCACAGCAGGGACTTGGAAGAGAACAAGATAATGTTCTTTATGTGTCCGTTTCATGGTGCAAGCACGGAGAGATACACTAGGCTATGGCTACCATCGCGTTCATCGAGGCAAATACCCTGACTCCAACTTGAAGCACAACTCAACACAACTAACATTTCAATTCGTATGGTTCCAGGATAACACGCCGATTATCCAGCTTGAATATACGAATCTTGGAGCTCGAGGGAATCAAACACTGATCCTAGCGTAACTTCTTGCTGCTGCACCAATCAGGCCATCTGCTTTACTTCCGAGTCATCGTTTTCCTTCCAAAGGTTCAACTTCATCCACTTGTCTACAAGGTCTACAGTGTCTGCTGCTGTAAATCCCGCTGGAATAACAGTGTCTACAGACTCTGATCGACTATGAAACTGAAGCCAAACACTGTGACGGACTCGAGGCCCCACTTACATACCATTCCCACCCGAGTCAGTTACTTCAAGATGTTAGCGAGCCCAAGTCTCGCTTTGTCTAGATCAAAGTACGTGCAGCTATCAAAGCTTCGACTCCTGGTCCGCTAGTCTTTCGGTTCGGAAGATGTGATTTCCGGACTTCCGGTATATCCGAGCAGCTTGGTGCGTTATACCTTCCCGCCTCTGATTGAATATGGTGGCCTAGTGAGTTCTCAGTCATTTCGTATGATGATAGCTAGCTAATCTCAAGACTATGCATTCCCTGGCGCTAGTCAAACGCGACAACCAGCGGCCTATGTATCTTGTAGGCGGTACCCCCTGGGTGACTACTTACAGAGCTGCGATTCTGGCGAGTACTCGTAATAGTGCAGCCTTCCGCTTCAGTGCTCTTCCTTGACAACGATAGAACGTAACAATTCGTCTTGGAAACGGCTCTCTTCATCAGCGGATACTCAACAAACACGCAAGATAGCAAGCATCAAGGGAATGATGAAAAAAATCGCAAACCTGAACCTTGGTCCGTTGCGATTTCTTCATCACAAATTCCACGTCACCCAACTATTTTAAGATTTCACTGCAACGGATCTTGAACTGCGATATACCAAATGTAGGGGCAAGGGCTGAGTTCATGCTGCTCAGGACCCAGGTTCGGATGATTTACACTTTCTCGGTCACCGCCACTGACATGAGGCGCGCTTAAGGCTATCATGACTCGAACGGATCAAAACACCCCGGTTAGTCGAAGCCGGAACTCGTCTATAGAACGCCGAATCGGGAAGGTGGCATCTAGGTTTTCGAGTTGCCGCTCATTGATATTGGTATTTAGCTTATTGGGCCTAAGAAGTCCTCTTTTTCTATCTTGTGCGTGAAAATTTGGGTAGAAATCTTAGGCT